GGGGGGGGGGGGGCGAGCACAGGCGCCCTCACGAATTTAACTTACAGCTTTATACCAGTGTGCCTCTTTCAAGGCCAGGGGCCGCGTGTATGTGTTGTTGTGTGTGCGCGCGCGCATGTTTTTTTTGCGCGCCCCGCGCGGGCGTCCGCCCGCTGGCGCCCCCCGAGCTTCGAAGCCGGAAGCGGCGTGGTGCACCCCGCCGCGCCCTGGCCCCCCTCGGAGGGGGGTGTTCCCCCCCGCAGCGAGGCGCGCGCGGCTCTCTCGCACGCCCTCCCCCCTCGGGTGGTCCCCGGCGCTGTCCCCCCCCCCGGGCGCGCGGACGCGGGAAAGGGCGTCATCCCCGTGAAGGGGAGTCTTTCGCCGGACCGCGACCGCGCGCCGGGGTGGTGTGTCGGCCGGGCCCCCCCGAGAAGAGGGCGGACGAGAGAGCCCCCCGCGCCTCTCTCTGCGGGGGGATGCATCCCCCCCCGTACGGGGCTCTGTCGGACACGAGGTTTTTTTGGGCCCCACTGTGCCTCGGGCACCGCGCCCGGAAGAAGCGCGCACGGGTCTCCCCCCGCGCGGCGCGCGCGCGACACACGCGCACGCGCGCACACTCGTACACATACACGGACTCTCCCCGCCGCCCAGGGGCCCCCCGCGTGTGTGTGGGTGTGTGTACGCGCGCGCCCCGCGCGCCCCCCCCGCGCGAGCGCGAAGAGAACACGCGGGACGCACACACACACACGCACCCACACACACACGGGCCCTGGTGGTTGCTGGTGACACACCTCCTGGCGAGCGCCAGGATCTCGCGACATACGAGACTCTCCCCGGGCGCGCGCGGCACACATGTGCGCGCGTGAGCGCACACACACACACAGCGCGCGCCTCCAGGGGCTGCTTGACTCAGACCTTCCCGCGGGCTCAAGAGCTTGATGTCTTGACTTTCTCGGTTGGGCGCAGGATGGACCTCCTTTCGTCCCCCTTGTCGGGGGGGGGCGCGTACGCGCGCGCGCGCACTCCGCCGCGCCTCGGCGCGTTCCGTCTCTCTCTCCTGCACGTGTGTGCGTGCGCGTGTCTCTCTCGCTCCTCTCTACACACTCTCTTCCTGTCCTCTCCGCCTTTTCTTTCTTGCGCGCGGCGGCGCGCAAGGCCGGGCTCTGAGGCACCCCCAGTATCTCACAGGAGAGCGTGTATTTCTCCCCTGCGCTTCTTTTGTTCTCGTTCCCCAGGCGCGCGTGTGCCCTGGTCTCTCCCCTTCCCCCCGCGTCTCTCGCGCGCGCCTTTCTCCTTTGGGAGAGACACCCCTAGGGGGGGTATAGCACACACGGTGTGGTTGTGAGAGTGTGAGCGTGGGCCGCGCCTCGAGAGAGAGGGACAGAGAGAAGCACCACCTCTCTCTCGCGCGCGCCCCTTGCAATCCCCCTTTTACACGACAACACACCCGGGCCGCTCCGTGCGCGCGCTTCCCACACACTGACCACAGCCGCCGGGGCGACAATGCGCGCGCGCGGGGGGATATCATTACACATGTGCGGGAGCCAGCCGGAGGGGGGGGAGAACGTGGAAGGAAGAGAGAAGAGGCGGGCTATGAAAGCGCGCCACCACACAACAACACACGGAGAAACTCACACATACACACGCCGTCCCCCCGGGGGGGGGGGCGTCTGTAAACGCGCGCGTTGCCGGCACGGCGCGGCACACAGAGGGGGGGGGGAGGGGGCACACAGCGCCTCGGGAAGAGGGCTGCATTGTGTGTACACATGCACACGGCAATGGGGAGAGGGCCACGAAGAGAGGGCGCAGAGAGAGAACGAGCATCACACACACACACACAACAAAGCAGGAGCACTTTTTATCTCACTCGCACACGCGCGGCGCGAGAGGGACACAGAGAGCACATCGACACGCAGGCGCGAGAGCGCGCGCGCGCGCGGGAGCCACCTACGTTTGTTTCCCCGCACACGTGAGCTTGAAAACTCCACCCAGGTACGAGCACCCAGGCCGCCGGGCGGCTTTTAAAGCCCGGCCGTGCATTTGTCCGACGCCGCGCCCGCCGGACGCCGCCCCACGCAATAATGCCAGTCCGCCGGTTAAGGGCCGGCAGCCGCGTGATCCGGTGCACGCGTGACACTCGACTAAGGCGCCGGACGGGGCCTTTCGCGATGGCGGCCCGCCACACGAGAACCGGCATACCCCCCCCCCTCCCCCCCCGCGCCGGCCCGTGGGCATTGCCCCAAACACCGGGCACTTAAGGCACCCTCCTACTGCCAATCCAACAGTGCATCCTGGGCGGGCTCCCTTGGCCGGGTCGTCCTTGACGTGGCCACACCCCTGGGCCGGGTGTGCCCGGGGGAAGGGTAAAAATGTGCATTTTATTTTGCCCATTTCTGCCGCACCCCGCGCCAATGTGGGGCCCGCGCGCGCGCGCGCGCGACGAGACAGCGCGACGAGACAGCGCGACCCATAGCCGCGGGCCATCTTGCCGACTGCCGTCCGGCGCCCCCCCCCCCCCCGGCCGGGGAAGCCGCCGGAGGCCGAGGGAACACACCTGGAGATGCGATGCCCCCTTGCGGCCGGCCGGCCGGCCAAGCAGGCCGCAGACGCGCCGGAGGGGCCGATGGCCAGGCCCCCCCCCCCCCCGCCGGTCAGCCAGCCGCGCAGGGGGGCCCTTTCTTTTGACATTCCGCCCCAACGACGCCTGGCGGCCCCCGATGATCGAGCACTCCCCTTCTCCCCCTTTCGCCACCCTCTCCCCCGCCCGCGCGCCTC